ACGCTGACACGGGCAAATGTAGATAGCCCCAGAAAAATTGCATATGCAGTATTTATTGCATTCGAAAAAAAGAAAATCCATTCCAAAAACGCTCACATCAAATTCCCCTCCTTCAAAAGGACTTGTGCCAATTTGAAAAAATGGCGCCAAATTTACAGAAAACAGTTCCTCGTTTGTTTTTGATGGTAAAGCTTTCGAGGTCCACAATGTCTTCCGCTGCAGTCGCTTTAGGATGTCAGGTACCGTGATCTGCAAAAATAGGTTGGTTTGCTACAAAATATGTTACAGTATTCCGCACCAGTTTGATAAGTGACAGCGCCAAACCATGAACATGATTATAGATGGATGAGAAATTGCCAGACTCCCTGAAAACATGAATGAGACTGGTAAGTATGAAAAAGGTGGGACTAAAATTCAACAGGGAACCCGCCTACACCACTCCTCGAATTTTCGTAAATACGAAGCACACATGCTGATATCACAAGAAAACGCAGCAGAAGCATTCATTTCGAAGAGAAGGCGACACATACGAGCATCAAACTGAAGTGCACAAAAAATTTTACAAAAAAAGTAATAAACATCCAAGCAACTTACAAGCTCACTATGTTTCTCCCAAAGAGACGCTTGATAAATGCTAAAGACAGCTATTTGGATGGTGCGAGCAGTGAATCCCCACAATTCGTATAAGACATCCAGAAGGAACAACTGAGCGTCCATGAGATAATGCAAAGACCAGTGCATTTTATCTCGAAGGCTCTAAAAAGCAGATTCTTCGGCAAATTTGGTGATTCTGAGACTTGTGAAGACCAAATGTGTACCTCGATGATTTGCCTAGCATGATCAACTTGGCTCATAATACAGCCAATACCCTTTTCAAACTGATCCACCGCATGCTGCAAGCTTCCTTCGGCGCGTGGAAGAGACAAGCAAATTGGAGATACGGGATTCAGCGACTCGAGTAGAGGAGCTGGAAATAGTGTGAGAGGTAACAATTGCTGCAGAACCATTTTTTCCAAATTTCTAGGCTGCCGAAGACTTCCTAGAACAACCTGACAGTGTACAACTCACCTACATCGATGTCGCACTTCACTACTGGATTTTTAGGTCTAACCATGGTAAGCTGAAAACGTAATCTCGCACACTTCATTCTCAGTTCAGAGTATAACCAGGAAAAGGCAACTTACATTGAAATCAGATATCAAATGGCTTTGTTGTTGTGACAATTTTGTACGCGCTATCTAAAAAAAACCACATCTTCATTGGATTTAGATACAAAATTGTAGAAGACTGACCGAACTATGAATTACTGCCATCTTGTATGTAGTTTTTGAAGATTTCAAAGATCTTAGGAACTGGACCTCTTTCAAATGTTGGACGAGTTTCTTAACAAATATAATAAAAATGTTATACTTATGTCTGCTCTCTAAGCTGTGAAAATCAAGAAGCAGGATTTATTATAAACGTAAAAAACCCTAAAACGTCTTATGTACAACTGATTTGGAGCAGAAACCCTGCTTACAG